CCTTAACAGCAACCCAGAAGACCAGGGACAGAGTTCCTGCTCTCACTGAGAGCCATTCCGCGTCCATCTAGATGCCATCGGTATGTCGGTATATCTATATATCTTTGGTGATTGAACTGGGTGGGATATAGGTCGAGGCTTCGTTGAAAATCCACCGGCTAGTCAGGAAGGATTGGAAGGGGGTTCAGAAGGACCCGACCAGATTGTCTACAAGTTTACTAGTTGAAGCTTTGTTGGCAGGTACAAAAAAGTAAAAGGGTATGAGGGCTCTCCTAAGTTTGCACCTACAGCTGTCGCATTTATACCCTCACCTACAACTACCTATGAACATCTTAAGCCCGCTATCCCGAAACCTTAAATCCTAAACCCTGATCCCCAGAGCCTAAATCCTGAACCCCTAAACTCTAAACCCTAAACGCTAAACCCCCTAACCCCTAGACCCTAAACCGTATAGGTGTGCCCCAGTGCCTTGGAAAAGCCAGTAGCTCGTTCCACACGCTTTCCTCCAGTCTGGAAACCCTCGATATAATAATAGTATAGTAAAGTCATGCTGGAGCTTTAGCATCAAGCGTCCTGCTAATGCTGAGGTTCGAGTAGGGGAAGGGAAGGGACAAGCACACGGAACCAACCACATCATTTAAGGGCTTAGGCTGTAGGGTTTAAACCCTAACTGGGAATGGGGGATGGATCCCTGTATGTACTTGCCCCTATAGTATAGCCGGCAGAAGAACCCCAGTGCAAGTTCACAGAACCCATTCCGCCATTCCCGACAAAGCATGGGATTTAACGTTTCCAAGATCAAGGCGAAATGGACTCCTAGACCCTGACTCTAAACTCCAAACCCTAGGGTACAGGGTTTAGAACCCCAATTGAACCCTAGACCCCAACGTCTTCAAAATGTACCCATGTCCTGGAGCTGAACTTGCGGCAGGCCCACAGCTTGCCGGGTAGTAGCCTCAGCACAGGTTTCAAGAGTCCCATTGGGCTTATGGTTCCCCAATCCCCAACCCCATGAAACCCTGAACCCTCCAGCCCCTCAATCGCTGAGACCTAAAACCCTTACCTTAACGTCTAAACCCTTAATCCCTGAACCCATCTATCCCGAAACCTATAGAAAACTAACCCTCAGCCTCAGACTCTTGGGAGCACCGCTGCTTGGCGCCTGCAGTTTAGGAGTACGGCTTGAGGCCTCAGCCTCGGGATTACAGATTTAGGTTATGGGGTCACAATATAGAGCTAGGTTCATGGTTTCTGTTTTAGGGCTAGCCCTAAACACAACTAATCCACCTATACCCTAAATCCTAAAGCCCCCGCCTGAGGTCATGGTTTGGCTGGTTTAGGTTAAGGGTTTAGGGGTTTAGAGTTTAAGGTCAACACATCCGATCAGAAATGCTGGAGGGGTCCAATCCACTGTAAGGAAGTCTGCCCATGCTTATCCCTCTGCTGACCGAGAAGATTCGTTCCTGTTTTCTGAGAAAGCACTGCGATAGGCGGCACAAGACGAAAGGAGCCTCAAAGAAACCTGGGACTGCTTAACCACAAAAAGCTTTACACATCCCTTTCAAATCGTCATTGAGATTCCTTGAAGAAAACCTTCTGCACTAAGCTGTCAGTCTCACATAACCCAGGACATGAGATCTCAATGTTGAAGTACCATCCCCCCACAACTCAGAAGTTTATCCTGCGTATAGTACAGAGGGGGCATGCATCATTGTTCATGAAGGGGCGGGATTGATTTTCAAGGGCACGTGCCGCTAGACTGATGTTTTAGGGGTTGAGGGTTTGAATTTCAGGGCGGTTTGATTTACGGTCACTTGCTCGTCACTCAAACTGCCTAGCAGCAAACTTAAAGGCTGAAACCGTCAGTCCCCCTACTGGTGTCAAGGGGCACGGGGCATGGACTAGGTACTTTGAGGAATAACACTGACAGCGCAAACTAGAGCTGGAACGGCATAAGCACCGACAACTTGTTGAGTATAGTGCTAAATTAAAGACGATTACTAGCAAATAGATTGTGTATTTCTCCACATCACATGAATCACATGAAACGCAGGTCAATGAAGCTGAAAGTGAAGATCGCGACGTCAGACCGCTCTTCCAGACCTCTTGGGTATCTTCCCCAACCCTCGGGACCTGCCACCCCCCTCTAGGCTCCACAAAATTGTAAGGATCTTTGTTCCTAAGGGGACCCATCATTTGCAAAACCTCTCGAATTGGTAAAGGAAATTAATCTATGTTGACCTTACTGGTAGTTAGTAGGGGAAAAAGGTATACAATCCCTGTATAACATATTCCCTTATTCCCTACTAACCGCCGGTAAGTAAACTTATCCCACTGTGTCAGGCCTTGTTCACTTTTGACCTGGCTGCTTTGGCCACCGGTCCGCCGGACCTTTCCAGGAACTTGCCCCCACCCCCTCCCCTCAAAAAAAAAAATGACTGTGAGGATCTGAAAGCGGTGAATACTAACACCCTACATGACCCTCGGTACCCCAGACCTTGGGAATTCTGGTATTATCGTTTTCCTCAGGTAGTACAGGATTCTAAATACCAACAATAAGGGCCCTAGAAATCACCTTATACTCGTATAGGATACCCTATTAGGAGTTTTACTTTCTAGAACCTGCGTGTACTTGGAAGCACGGGGTAAGTATCACCCGACCACAAACATTACGGTACTTATACTTGATGCCTATCTGCAGTTTTATTCGGGTATGGGTTAGCCCGGACACCGTAGATCCTAAACCCTAAATCCTTAACCCTGAGCCAATCCTAAACCTTAAGCCCAAAATCCTTACAACCCTAAACCCTAAACCCTAAACCCAAAATCCTAAAACGCTGCACCTGCAAGTCAGGTCTGAAGTTGACTAGCTTCCTGAGGGTGTTGAAGTAATTGGGAGCCTAGGGGTTAACTTTGGGTCTAAGAGGGTAGGGTTTAGGGTTTAGTTGGGTCACTGGGAAGTCTAGGGCACCTTCATGGAGAGGCGTATTATGGGCCCAACTTCTGTTTTATGGTTTGCGAACGCTTCTGGACTTGGGTCCCCCGGCGTGGCTTTGCGGATGGCTTGTTAGAGCTTAGGGTTTACGGGAAGGGTTGGGGGAAGTTCAGAGTCCAGGTTTTTGGGCTCAGCAGGGTTCTCTGTGCATGATTCCGGCCATATAGGGGTTACATCGGGGGTATATAGGGTTCAGGGTCTTAGGGTCTAGGGTAGAACAGTTACTCACCCGCGGCGTACCACGGTGTACCGACCAAAACGGCGCAGCGACGACGGTGGCTGGCTAAGGGAGCACGGGCTTTGGGTCTGCCATTTGCAGGATGTATTGTGTCACTTGGCAAGAGACACGTGCCCACACATTTGAAAGCATCCTCCCGGCGGCAAACCTCAAGTACTCTTGTAATCGAAAGGCATAGAACCCCTTATCTCTCTCGACTTTCAGATCAGAGGTGTCCGTCTGAATCAACGACTCACATGGAAGCTTTAGTGTCCAGACAATGGCAGTACTGTTAGCAAACTTACGACAGGCAGACTGCTTCTGGAGATCCCCCAAAATCCAAACTCCCAGTTCCTTCTTTTGAGGATCCTGGTAGGCTTCATGATTGAACTGTTATTCTGCTCTTGGGGATCGAGGGCTAAGGCTTAGTAAGGACCCATAACTTCTAGAAACCATACGTCCATCCCAGTCATCCACAGATTGTCACCCTACTCCCTAGGTCCCCCAGACCCTCCAAGCAGAGGCTCTCAAGGAGAGTAAGCATGGCTTCCTCCAGCATGTGAGCTATAGTCTCAACTCCTAGTATCCCCCTTAACAAGGCCTATAGTAGTCCCCTATATAGTCCCCCATATAACCTCCCTTGAATTGAAGGAGTTTAGACTATAGCTCATGTGGTAAGCTGGGTATCTGGCACGCCGTCCGTGTTGCTTTCTGCTCGGATAATTTGCTCCTCAGTCTGGAATGCAACAAAGGCGGGGTTGTTTCAAGATTAGGGATGTGAGTCGCGTTGTTTTTTGGTGGTTGAACCTAGTAAGATAGTATTCCTTATATAAAATACTATACCCAAAAGGGAGGATATAATCTTACTCTATATTGGGCACCATACTACTCATGTCTTCTCGGGGCCCTTACATCCAGCGCTTTGGGTATTGCAAGACCAGACCGCTTTGTTGCGAGAGGGCCATGCTGAAGCAAGCATGCTACTTGTGGCTCAGTGTAGCACAATTAAGTTGTGGCTAGCATCTCCTTGTTTCACCACGGGGTGCTGTTGATACAGACTTGAAAGAAGGGTCCTTTGGGCATCCAGCATCCCCACAAGCTCACCTAAAGCAATAGTGCGGGCATTGCGAACATCAATTGGGCTTGAGTTGTGTCTTTTCGTGATTCGGGAAGTTCTGAAACTTCATGCCGCTGCTGCGACCATCTTCTGCTTTCGATGGCTTCCGGCGGCGGCAGCTAACTGATCAAAGTAGCAAGTGCAGGGAAATGCCATGTCAGCATTCCTGACAACCGGAAACTGCTTGGAGCACAGCCTTTGCTTTCAGGGATTCGAGAGCAATACGATGAAGACAATGACAGTGTAGCTGAGCATTAAATGCTGTGAGCTGCGAACAACCGCTGGTCCCTGTGCAGACCCCTCAATTGCGGCTTAGTCATGGGGGCTTGTGAGTCATGCCGAGTTGTCATCACACTTCTGGCAAGGAACGCATGCTGAGTACCAAGGAGCATCGAGTCTGAACATCCTTCCGCTGTAGCTCACCCTGAACCTCTGTTCAACGTCTACTGCAGAGAGTTTAGGACTTGAAGTTCACAGTCTGGCTTTAGAAGACTGCCGTCAACTCAGGGTTGTCGACTGATGGTTGGCGCAGCATCCCAAGGGTAGGCCCTATCTCAGCCCCATCCATCCAAAACCGTTCAACAGGTTGTGAAATTAGCCCCGGGCTACGCGCCTTTAAGGTAGCCCCCAGAGTCGCCAGGTACTTTAAATAGCTCCTCCGTTAGACACCTCTGTGTTGAGACTTTACACTCTATACACCTTAGATCAGAATCCTACACTAAGATCACGGAAACCATGAACAGCTAAACCATCGCTTCTACATAAGTGCGTACAGCCCATAGCATCCTTGGAACCCTACGACCCACACCCTTCTCAAAATGACCATTGCCCAAGAAACACATTTTCCAAGGGTCTCGCTCAGAGTACCCTCAAGCATCCCAAAGCTCAAAAACTGCACTGGATTCCCAAACCTCGCAGCCCCAAAGGCGCTTGAACCAAAAGGATTCAGGAGCCGACTACGATGGATAGCACAGTGGAGCCTACCTGGCTAGTCAGGGCTTTAGGGCCTTAGGGGTTTGGGGTGGGCCGCGAAGGGTTTTAAGGCTTAAGGAATTTCCTCCTCAGAACTACCCTCCCGCAAACCATTATGCAACTCCAGTATGGTCTCAGTGAATCTTTGTGCGTGCCTTTGCCTTTTCGGGCTTCCAGGCTACCTTGGGGGGTGAGTACCCAATCGCAGTGGGTTTTCAATTGCATGCTTGATATACATGAGAATCTGTGGGCTCCCACAAATTGGTGGGCCCCTTTAGGGGGCACCTACAATAAGAACTACAATAATTTAGGGGATTACGCAGGAGGTCTCCCACTAATGAAAACTTCCAATTGGGGAGGTAGAAGGAAATCACATTTTTGGAGCACAGACGCATATCCGCCTACATAGTTGCGCAGACGGCGTCCTTGCTTCCACGCCGAAGGCAAGGCTCATGTTATATTATTAATGTTCACGCTAAGAACTCTAAGATTTTAGAGAAGGTAGGGGAGGTTCAGGGCTCCTGATCTGCCGTCCTTGGCCACAACTGTGAATGAGCAGAGCGCCAAAGTGTAACCAGTTGAGGCCAGGTCCCCGCACCCCTCCTCCATTACTTCTTCCATGTACTCATATGTCCGCAGCTAGACCGAGCACATCCGTTTGCCATGGCAGTCACTCTGCAAAATTCATTTAGGGAGGCATCTACCCTTTGGCATACCCTAGATCCTAAGGTCATGAACCTTTGCAACCCTTGCAGCCCTAAACTCAACGTACTAAGTCCTTGGAGGCATCGCAAAACTGTACATCGCACACCTGGAACCCTACCTATAACCTACGTAAACCCTACAGTCGATGAACAACATACGTGGCTTAGAGCTTATGTGTGCAGCCTTGGGGGTGAAAATCCTGCATGTTCCTAACCTTAACGACTAAGCTACAATACATCCTTGACCACTAACACCATCTAAACTCAGACCTTACTTCCATGATCCTGAATCTTAACCCCGAGCATGTATCCAGACCAAAGCTTGTGCTAACATTGCACCTCGCCCTCCTTCATCAGCTCTGCATAGCGTTTCGCGTCGCTGCCTCAGGTGACCAGCAATGCCAAATGCGGCATTATCCGTTTCAGATCAGGCAGGAATTTTGCTTTTGGGACAGGACGTTTTTCACTTCCATGGCCAGGATTGCTTGACAGTTTTTCCGCCCGCAAAGATAGCTGAACACTATGGTGCTAGTAAACCGCAGAAGACATCCCCGTGCAGGGGAGCCTACCATCACATCAGACGTTATTACAGAAACCACTTTAAGGGCCCTTCTTCTCACAATTGACGGTAATGAGGAAAAGGACCAATGACGGGCCAATGAGCTGAAAATGGCCAACGAGGGGAACCTCAAGTAGAGAAAAATCGACCTCCAGGTCTCAATTCCAGACCTCAATGAAGAGACAAAGTCGCATGGTAGCTCCCGACAGATTACGGCCTCAGAAGGTACATCCTAAACACGGGAACGGGAACCCCAACAGCAAACATAGAGAGTGAGCTAGAAGTGCACTGAGTATTCAACAGCACAGTTGTAAGTCATCCGCAGCCCCTATACTATCAAGTGTAGCCGTGAAGGCTCTGTTTGCCCCGGGTTTCTGGATGCACGCTGGCTGAGCAATTCAAAAATTTTAAACTTGCAAACGCAGCGCACAGAACTTCACAAAAGAAAGCCTGTCAATGTCTTGGATCGCATCCCCCTCCTGATTTTACTCCTCTTCGTCTTCCGTCACTAGCCTTTGTAGCCCACGCGGTAGCAACAGCCGCAGGAGCATTTGCTAAGCTTCTCCTTCTTCCGGAGCTCGGGCTACGGCAAAAGATTCTGAAGAGCAGGTGGAGCATGGCCCTTAGCCTAGGCGAAGAAGGGCGTTGGCAATGGAGTAGGTATTAAGGCGTAGAAATTGGGATTCCGGTACTTCTGAAGCTGTTGGTAAAGGGAAGTAAAGTCAAGCGGTACGCCCTCTTTTGAATGGTTGTTGAGGTGTGTTCGTCAGCATCTTGACACTCGGGATCTGGAGATCCTGAGCACAACAGGGGACTTCTACAAGAAGAGCCAACTCAGTCGTGAGCTCCTCACTGTTATCTGTATATGACCTTCAAGGGCGACCTTTCAAGCTCCTTACGATCCTTATAATATGTTTCCCCGGTCCCTGGGGGCGCTGTGTTTCGAGAACCAGCCCTCGTTGAAAATGCACATGGCAGCTACGTCTGCAACGCCCAGGGTATAACCCTAAACCCTAAACCCCTAAACCCCAAACCCATAAACCCTAAACCCCTAAACCCTAAACCCCTAAAGCCCTAAACCCTAACCCCTAACATCACTGCTAACTTGTCGACAGCTTCAGGCCATGCAGCTAAAACAGGCTGTTGTTACAGTTATGCAGTCCTCAGCCCCTCCAACAGAAATCCGGGGGCTCTGCAAAATCCATGCTGCTAAACCGAACATCGTGGTAAGTTTCTTGGAAGAGAAGTCTGGGGGTCCCTACAATTTGGGCAGTCACTTTTTGGGAGATTCCCTCTAACAAGGATAATCATATCATACTTGGGGTATTTTAAGGGGAGCCTGCAACAGGACACTCCCATTACCCTAAACCCTAACCACCCTATGTAACCCTTATAAGCCCCTTTCAAGGGTACCGCCTTTGACCCTAAACTCTATTAGCTGCAAAGCCTAGCTAAGGCTCCGTCGCTTGTAGTTGAGATGCCGCCTCCCGTTGCATACGGAAAGCCTTTGAGAGAAATCTGCAGACATAGGGTTAAGGGTCCGGGGTTAAGGGAGGGAGCTTCTCAACATAGAAGTTTCTTTGTGACCCTAGGGCAATATGGGAATTAAGAGGGGATTGTAAGGGCATTATGAGGGCTCCTTGTGGGGGGGGATTATCTAGGAACCATCTTGAGAAACTCCCACATTCTGATTCTACATGTAGGACTTGGGCTGAGGGTGTCGGGCTTAGAGTGTCAGAATAAAAGTGTAGGGCTTAAGTACAGGAATGAATACCTGTGACAAGTTCTGCTGCTAAATGCCTAACGTGATTTCACATCTGTTTTGGAACGCGATTGCAAAGATGCAGCGACAAAAAAGTGGAACCTGCGCCACCTAAACTACAACGCGTGGAAAATAGACCGTTGACCACTTTCCATTCAGCTTCACATTTGATTTGGAAAGTGAGCGCAGATACTACAGATCGCAAAAGTGGAACTCTGATGGGTCGCTACAAGCCCTGTAGTCATCCCTATCACCACTCCCCACTTCCCATTTAATTTAGGGCTTATAGGGTTCAGGATTTAGGGCTTATGGGGCTTCAGGATGAGTAGGGTAAAGGGTTTAGGGTTTAGGGGGCCTATATGCCTTATATAACACACTATACCCCAACAAAAGGCCATAGTATCCAAAAAAAATACAACTCTCCCAGGTTGAAACCATGGGCCCCTAGTATGGGCCCTTAACCCTGGGATCCTTACCTACCTACTATATACTTCAAACCTTAGATACTCAACTAAGCATGAGTAGGATTAAGGGCCTAAGGGCTTCGGCGTCTAGTTTGGAACGGAGCTGGCACCGCCAACAGCTGCAGGCTTCAAGGGTGAGGCTTTAGCCGGTCCCTAATTTTAATCAGAAGTCCCCCAAACCCTAAACCCTAAACCGTGGTTTAGGGTATAGGGCTTAGGGCATCAATACCCCATAAAGCACCATTATGCAACAGCAACACGGGGGAAGATCCAGCATTGGAGGCGGGGGAGGCTTCCGCCCTTTAAAGGATGCCCTGGTACCAGGTAAAAGGACTTGTAGCGTGACGGCTTTCGGCTAGAGGATGGAAGCCTCCCAAAATGACCCCTATATTATTTCACACTTCCTTTGGGAGACCGCTACACCAGTCGGAATCCTCGCATCTCTAGGGTCCGCAGGAAACCATTTTTCCAACCTGCAAATGACAAATCGCGCGGCCGCAGTCATACTCCTGAATGCCGAGATTGAAGCCTGAACGCCCGAATTTCTTCGCTGGATCGCAAGCTGAAAGATTGGACAGGAACCATGTGGATCCTTAACAAAAGAAGCGTTCGACTCGCTACTGCGAACGTCGGTCTTCCATGAGAAACGGTTCAAAGCTCTCACTCGCAAGATGTCATGACCATTGAACTCTAAGTTTCCGTGAACCCTTCAGCGGCTTCTTGGGATTAGAAAGAACAGAAACTAGAAACGATTTTCAGCAAACTTCCAGTGGACCCAAACCCGGAGAAGCAAACTTAGCCGGGCGGCCACCCAGTCCAGATCTTGAAGAGACACAATGACCTCCTCAGCTTCGTGTGAAGGGAGCGTAGATTCGCAAATAAGTGCTTTTTGCTACTCCTCTTTCCGACTTCAATACAGAAAGAACGAATGTGGAACACAGGAGCCATATCGCCACACTGCATGTGCATCCTCGATACGATCACTGGCTTTGGGGTCGAGGTTGAACCCTAAACCCCACACGCAGGGCTCGTCGAGTTGAGGCTTGAGGGTACATCTATGTCGTTTTAGGGTTCGCGATATAACCCCGTGGGTTCAAGCAGCCAAATATTGTGGGCACTGAAATTCCTTCGGATTTCTTTAAAGCAGTTGGGACCTCAAACCCCGTTATTTGGGTACCTGGTTTAGGGTTCAGGGAAACGTTCTCTTCTGACGCTTAAGCGATCTTGTGGCAAGCGGCGCAAACAGTGAGGAGCTACAATCTGCAGTCCATTCCGTCCGGAAATAAAGCCGACTGTCCTGCTAGTAATGAAAATGCAGTACCACCACAGACTGTATATATTCTTACATACATACGTACATACATACTACATACATACACAGATACACAGACACACATACACACAGACACACAGACACACAGACACACATACACACCTACACACCTACACAC